GACGGGTACTCAGTCTTCACCCATCTGGTTTACTAAAAGATTAATGAAGGGCTTAACAAACTTATTTCCACATCATAGACAACCTCCCAAACCCTGGGACCTAGAATTGGTTTTGGATGCACTGAAAAAACCTCTCTTTGAGTCTTTGGCCACATGCGACTTGCCAACCCTAATTATGAAGACTATATTCTTGTTAGCCATATCTTCAGCCTTCTTAGCAGCACCACTCTACATGGTGTTCACACTTCAGGGAGTCATTCTCCACCCCCAGCCTACCTTTACCCAAGATAAATTCAGAATTTCACATAAATGAGCCAATAATTTTTCCTAAACCACACTCCACTCACAAGTAAGCCCGGCTGCACACCTTAGATGTTCGACGGGCTTTGGCCTTTTACATCGACAGGACGGGACCCTTCTGGTCATCACAACACCTGTTTTTCTCCACGACTTATCGTTCCAAGGGTCAACCAATTTCAGCACAATGCATATCAAAGATCATAGTCAACTGCATAAAGCGTTGCTACTCTCTACAGGGCAGACCTCTCCCGCACAATATCAGAGCTCTTTCTACTAGGGCTGTCACTACCTCTACAGCCTTTTTAAAGGAAGTCTCCCTTGTGGACATCTGCCATGTAGCCACATGGTCCTCCGAAGCATTATGCCCTATCTGACATTTGCATCCATGACTCAGAAGTGGCCTCGGCAGTACTTTCTACCGCGGGTACCTCTTAACTCTGAATACCACCTCCTTACACTGGGGCTACTCCTGCAAACTTATCTATAGTGGAGCACCCACGGGGATACTGCTCGAAGAAGAAAGGGAAGTTACTCACCTTGGTGCAGTAATGACACTTCTTTGAGATGCATGTCCCCATGGGTGCTCCATGACCCACCCTCCTCCCCGCTTCAGAATTCTTCTGTCTTTCAGATACTTGGCGGTTAGGAGGAACTGGTGAGAGCCAGACTGCGCACGATTAGAAATGGCGCAAAAGACAGAGACTCCAGACACTCATGCATGGTCCGGCAGACTACTGCTGACAACTCTCCAACCTGCGGCACCTGGATGAGCCCGACACCTACAGTGGAGCACCCACGGGGACACGCATCTCAAAGAAGTGTTGTTACTGCACCAAGGTGAGTAACTTCCCTATTTGTCTGAAAAGACCTAACTTCCATGAAGTCATGTTGACTGGTAATAAGCAAATACAATTTAAAATCTTTTGTGTTTTGTTTTGTTTTGCAAAAGCCTTGCTGTGACCTTGTTATCGGATAGGACACAAATAATTTTGTCTCTAGTTAGGCAACCTGTTAACTGTGGAGAGCCATACAATTTATTGTATAGCTTATAATATAATCATCAATGGTTTCCTTTTGCAGCTGGTCTCATGTTGAAAAAAATCATAAAAAAATTAAAAGCTGCTTTCCAAAGTATGTGGCTCAAAGTATTCTAATTTTGGAGTGACTTTATCTAGCTATTTTCAGGTCTATTCATGCTCTGGCTAGAAATATCATAGATCCCAATGCCTCTGGATCAGGTGGCCAACTTTCCAACTACACAAAACCAAACACCCTTGCCCTGCCTCACCTTCACTCCATTCCCCTCCCTTTGTTGCTCAATCTCCATCATCCTCACTCACTCACTTATTTTCACTGGTTTGGGATATGGGTATAAGAGGATTATGGGCTTTGGGCTGGTGGTGTAGACTCTGGAGTGGGGTGGGGATGAAGGGTTTGGGGTGTAAGAGGGGACTCCAAGATTCAAGGAGTGCGGCTGAGGCCGGGATTAGGAGTGAGGGAGGCAGAGGGTTGGGGTATGGGAGAGAGTATGAGCTCTGGGATGGGGGATAAGGTGCAGGATGGGGCTGGAAATGAGAGATTCAGGGTGCAGGAGGGGTATCTGGATATGGGCATAAGGCTGGTGTGCAGGAGGAGATTTAGGCTCCAATGGGGAGGGGGCTTAGGGTTGCGGTATGGGAAGAAGTGAGGGGTGCAGGCTTTAGGCAGTGCTCATCTCTAACAGCTTCTACCTTCCACAAGCAGAGACATGTCCCTCATCTCCGAGGTGGAGGTGCAGCCAGATGGCTCTGTGCATTGCCTCCATCCACAGGCACCACTCCTGCTGTTCCCTTTAGTGTGGTTCCCAGCCAGTGGGTGCTGTGAAGCTGATGCTCAGGGTGGCATGGGGTGGAGTACAGTGCACAGAGCCCCCATGGCCATTTCTCCATCTAGGAACTAAAGGAAATGTTGCTGCTTCAGAGGAGCAGTGCAGAGCCAAGAAGCGAGCCTAACAGCCTCATATCCCTGGACTTTTCATGGCCTGGTCAGCAGTGCTTACCAGAGCCACCAGGTCCCTTTTTAACTGGGCATTCCAGTCAAAAACTGGACACCTGACAACCCTGCCACACAATGCATTGTGGAGACTGACATACTTCCTGATTGCTTTTAAAGGTAACTTTTTTCCAGTTCCAGAAATTCATAATGCTTCAGTTGTCTTCAACTATATATACCTTCAACTATATATATACTTCAATACAGTCATTCCTCATTTAACACGTGCCCGCTTAACATGTTTTTGTGATAGCACGATTTTTTTTAGGGAACGTTTTTTGAATTACACCATCGTCCCCAGAATAACACAATTTTCCCAACCGGCCCATTGCTGACAGCTGCGCGGGGCTTCCCCCACCTCCCTGCAAAGCAGTGGAGGGTTCGCCACTCGCCATGCTGTTCCCTGCTGACTCCCTCTCGCCAGACCTCTTGGCCCATCTCCTCCATCCCCGCTTGCAGTCCTGCGACTGGGTTTCCCCAGCCAGCCTGTCGCTGGCCGCTACGCGGGACTTCCCCCGCCTCCCTACAGAGTAGCGGAGTGTTCACCGCTTACCGCGCCATTCCCCAGCAACCCCGCGCCGGATGCAGTGCGGGTCCCAGCAGACCCGTCACAGGGGCATACTTCCAACCCAATCCCCCTCCCCTCTCCTCCCCTGCCCTTCCCTTCCCTTTCCCAGAGCCAAACACCTCCCCTCCCTGCTATAACCCAGTCCCCTTTCTCCCCCAACCTTATGTCCCAGTCCCAACAGACACCACCGCTTGAAATGCAACCCCCACCTTTTCCATTATTTTCAATGGGAAAATTGACCCCGCATAACACGTTTTCACTAAACACGATCATTTTCTGAAACATATCTCTAGTGTTAAATGAGGAATTACTGTATATATACCTCTGCCTCTGTAACTTCAGCTCCAATTCATCTGATGAAGTGGGTTTTACCCATGAAAACTTATGCCCTAATAAATCTGTTAGTCTCTAAGGGCATGTCTACACTAGGAAATTATTTCAAAATAACTTATTTTCAAATAATAACTCCTGAAATAATGCTTGAATAAGCATTATTCCTTGTGGAAATCAGGAGTTATTATTTCTAAATAATCAGCCCCTTATTTCAAAAAAACAGTCTTGAAGCAGGGGAAGGGAGCCCCACCTACCAGGGGAAGGAAGCCCCACCCACCAGAGCAGGCCAGCATTTGGAAATGGAACACCGCCACCAGCTGGAGGCAGTGTGCTGGCCAGGTCGGTGACCAGGAGGGGAGCCCCAGGAGAACCTGAGACCTGACCTCCCCTAGTCCAGTAATATCCCTCCTTTGGGACCACTCAGATCCTGAGGGCATCAGACCAAGGAAGGACAATCTGTACTAGTATTTTTATTTTTAATTAGACTACTTGATTTTATTCCTGCCAAGAATTAAATGGCAGACAGAATCCTAATATATATAGGCTATGTCTACACTGCAGGGTTTTTGTGCAAGAAGTCTTTTGCGGAAGAGTTCTTGCACAAAAACTTCTTGCGCAAAAGCACATCCACCTTTGCACAAGAGAAGGTCCACACTGC